CTTTTAATTGTCGACTAAGTGTAGAAATATCGACATTAAATTCTGGTTGAATTTGACGTAATGAAACTCCAGTCTTTTGGTCAGTCAAGCGTTTTAGTCGATTTAATTGTTGTGTTGATAACTTTTTAGGACGACCAACTCTAGGCAGAGATGGGCAACTCCGGGCATTTGCCACTCCAACTCTACTCCAACTCCAACTCCAGTCCAACCCCAAGGCTATTTTTGAAACATCACTCCAACTCCAACTCCAGCTCAACTCCAAGATTATTTTTGAAATGCCAATCCAACTCCAACTCCAACTCTTTGACTTTTTCTTCCACTCCACTCCACTCCAACTCCAACACCAGTTTTGAAAGCGCAACTCCAACTCCGTTTTGACTCCGAAACAACTCCGAGTCTAGTTAATTGAATATCAATTCATTTCTAAGCAATTTCAAGTTTTGAGTTCATACAGCCGCGACTAGAACTTCAGATTATAGAGGTTACGATGCATTATTAACTACTGCGTTACCGTTTCATTTATTTCAAAAGATCGAGATTACATTTGATCATTGTCAGTGTTGACAGCATTTTTTTCGACAAACGACTCCGATGAGGACGCATAAGGAGCCCACTCCGCGAAAATATTCTTTCTGCTGGTGCGGATGTGGCTGGAACAGAAAATACTCGCAATGCGAGTCGGTATAAATAAGGAAAGTGTTCACTTTTGTCGAAAATGAGACGCGTATCGTCACGTGGATCTTTGAGAAATAACATTATTTCTTCATCAATCTCTTCCATAACACTTGATCGTCTTTTCTTCGACGGTGTTTGCGCTGTCTGACAGTACGAGAAGAGACTCTTGCGTTTCCGCATTGGACTGCTGTCGAGTGTATCTTTTATCTTCGAGGACATTGCATTAGTAGTAACGGTGGTGGTGGTGCTTGTAACTTCACAGTTCATATCATCAGTGGTAACATCTTGCACCTTTGAATCGTTCAACTTTAGCGCAGCTTCAGCCACTAAGCGTTTAATCTTGTGGCACAGACGATCTCTGAAACAATTTAAACATTACTTTTGGAGAAGATAACAAAAATCATGGGTACTTCGTTGGCGCTTATGGCCATCAAAAGTTGGATTTAAGTCAAGATATATATTCACATAAAAGAACTTACTTTATGTCTTGAGATAAACCTGATTGAGTGATCCATTTAAGTCGAAATTGTCCATCCAAAAAAGGCGCAATAAGGAACAGTTCATCAGAAAAAAGCGAAAATGTACTCCGACGTTTGAGGCTCGTGTCCACAGGCAGTTCGAGATTGATCAAAAGCCCGCCGAATCTCTGTTGTAAGGAAATGATGAGTGCTTTGCATAAAGCGCCGGTATATTTGCATGATTTTCCTTCGTTTTCTAGATCAAAGTAAATGCCAATAATGCTGGGGCCAACTAAGGATATTGAGACATCTTTTTCAATTTGTGTTCGAGTGGTAGCCTCAGCGGATAATGTGAACACCGACACGAACTCACGCAGGATAGCCGTATCTTTGGTCGACAGTAATAGTTCGCTTCGTTTCTGCTCCGTGAGAAGTTCACTTAACACCGCGTTTGGAACATCGAGCGTTTTGGAGACGGTGAGAAATTGCGAATTCCATCGCGTTGGAACTGCTTGCGGGGTGCTCATTTTGATATCCTGCAATTTCTCAGCAGCCGGAATACTTTTGTGGGTCAGCTTGGCTGTTTGTGCCACTTTGGCCACCGCTGATCGAATCGACGAACCATCCTTTAGTCCATCGTGGACGACCAGCTGTAAGGTATGTACGAAACAAGGAAGTCGTACAAACTCATTGCCTGAAGTAATTTCGCTTTCGTCATCGTTGTCATCACCTTTGTCCGCAGCATTCCGATCCGCATCTTCTGTATCATCGTCACTCACATCCTCATCGTCTTCGTGAGCAAAATACGGCTCAAAGCCAGGCAATAGAAGTTGACCAAAAGCGCTGAGATTGTTGGAAGCGTTATCGGTAATCAGTCGCACCACCTTCGATTCTATACCAAATGATGTTGTTACACGTTCGTATTCGGCCAATAGGTTCTCACCAGAATGGCTGCCTATATGTCGATGAGAAGACATAGTGATTGTGTATACTGATAATCGTGAAACAACACTTATCTTACCAGAAAGAGGATTGAACGCGAGCAAGTGCGATTTCGATTGTCCGGCTTGATCGACATAGTGAACAGTAACCGCGTAAAACGCTCGCATGCGACGATCTGTCCACGCATCGAAGGTCAATGAAACGAATTGAGTAGAAGAGCAAATCTTCTTCAGCTTCATGATCAACTGATCGTATAACTTTGGTAAGTAGTCGCATGTAAGTAAACGACGAGACGGTACACGAAACTTGGGATCGACGATCGACATCGGTCGAACAAAAGCAGGCTTCTCCAGGATCGATAGAGGCAAATCTAACTCGATGATTAAATCTCTGAATATCATTTCGGACAATTCCAGTTGACGAGGATGGATAGTCCCGTATCTTGATAAACGAGGAGGTGTAGAAAGAGTGTCGAGTAGAGTGGGCTGTTTGCCATTCTTGTCGACGCTCGATTGTGCCTTGACTGAAGCTGTCCACACATCGAACTCTGGCTTGTGCTTGCGTTGCAAATGGCGACTATAATTCGAAGTGACATTCTTCACATGCCAAACCATCTCTTTGCATAATGCACAAATGGCTGAAGTTTTACCCTGCTGTTCACCACGTATATATTCTTTAAAATCGTTGAAGTATCGTTCGAGGCCTTGACCGCCGATTTTTGTCTTGGTTGTGCAAGACGCTTCGGCCATATTGCCATCGATGGAAGGAGATGATTGTCCGTCATATGTTGATAGGGGTAGATCAATAAGCATCGTATCTGATGATGACGCCATTCTTGTTCAATACGGTATGCAGAAGTAAAAGTTCAGTTTTGTGCACCTCTCGCTTAGAATATCCTCTAACGAATGACGCGCATGTAAGATATACGATGTTTTCTTTCGTTTCTCTCGTCGTCTGTTGTTAAGCTGTTAACTCGACATATATACGTACATGTCGTTACGCCGTAAAGACCATGTGCTTGTGCTCGTATTTTCGTTAAGAATTTTTCTCGTCCTCCTATTATAGACGCCAATCATATAGGAGTTGAAAAGCATATATCCACTCCAACTCTACTCCAACTCCATTTAAGATCATCTGCAACTCTACTCCAACTCCATCTGAAGAAAGGAGTTACTGTGGAGTGAACTCCAACTCGGAGTTGGAGTTGCCCATCTCTGGGTTTGAATGAAAAATGGAATGTAGGCGTTGATGATGTATCTGTTACACGTTGTGTTTTGTGGCGAGGGTTTTTTAGCAAATCGTTAGTTATGAGAGTGTGTGGTAATAATCTCTTCGTCTGCTTTTTTACGATCGATCGAGTTCTGAGTGCCGTGGTTAAGAGTGTAATGAATTTGTTTCTTTATGTCCGAGTCGAGTCTCTTTTGGAGGCTCTCTATATTTTTGTTTAATTTAAAATTCGTAATTAGCCGAATCTCAATCGGGATTCTTATATTTCGTTGTTTGTGTATTAATATAGTTAATGTAATATCAGACAATAATTTTACTGATCGTTCGACGTGAAAACAAAGTACGTATATCGACGGCGTGTCTTTTGTTTTCTTTGTTGTTTGTCCAGGGTCGCCAATTGTTAGAGAGAAAGACGGGAGACGGTAGTGTGGGCGATCTTCGTCCGAGTTTATTCTCTAACTAACTGTTTAATACAGAAAGCGGTGTGCATATATACGAACGAGGACCAAGACGAGAAAGAATCTGATGAAGAGAGAGCAAGGCGATGTGATGTCGCCCTAACAATAACAAATGAACGATTTAGTTACAATGGTTTGGGGGCAAACAAATGTGTCAGCTACTAGTGGATCTGTTTCGAAATAATTTAATTACGTATATTTATTTTGTATTTTTTTGTATCAGGAACATATTTGAAAATATATCAATGTATTATGCGAATGATGGTCAGTTCTTTTCGAAATGACTGATATTGATGAATTAGCATGTGTGAATTCATCAAACGAATCACCATTTCAATTCACATCTACTTCATCATCACAGCCATCGAGAAATGGTTCACAAGAAATCCTATTGAGTATAGAGCCATCAGATATGTGAACTATATTGGAATCAATTGAATTGACTATTGTGATCATTGGAATGATGTGAACAAAGAGATGCATACTCTAAATTGAAACAAAGGCGAAGCACTAAATGAACACTAAAGACGTCAATTATCTCCTTATTATCGCATAAACGAAAAGCTTTCATATAATTGATTTGAATTTAGTTTTTTTACGGTTAACTATTGCAGAATTGGCATTCAATCTCTTAGCTTTCTTTTCTTCAAAATATAGGCTCCGATTCATTTTCGTTTCATCTTATATCGCTGATTGTATTTGTTTCCTTTCTCTCCCTCAATCAAACAAGTATGTGTGAATATAATCGTGCTCCATTATCACACAGAACGATCAATTCTTTCATTTTGTCGTTCGTTCGTCTGTTCATTTTCGCTCATCGTTCCCGTTCGCTTTCTTTTTCTCATCATGTACGAGGTCACCTGTTAATCAGCTGTGCATTATGTACTACGCTCATGTCATCATACAATACACTCGGGTCTGTTTCTCTTCTGTATTGTTTTTTTCATCAAGTACGTTTTTTTGAATGAAAGACAAAAATTGTTCATTTTCGAACGTCTGTAATAAACTTCAATGCAATGAAGATAAAGAAAACTATTTGAGAATAATGACATGTACTAGAGAAAAAAAGCTATACAAATGTTAATGGGATAATTTTGTCAATTGATATGCTAATTTTGACGACATCGTAATTGATGCCTCATTATTCATTTTCGATAAGATATGAGTGGCAGATGCCATTTCAGTCATAAATGATCGTTCATGACCAACAGCTAATCTGAATTCATTGATGTTACTGGCAAGATCGGGCCATGACAATTTCATACCAGTTGATAAAAGATCTTTTAACTGAAAAGATGTAGTTGCTTTCAAATAAAATGCAGTTGAATGCACTTGCAATAAA